ATAAAAGTAGTTAAGTTAAAGTGACTGTGGAAATTCTGTAGTATTACAAAAAGTTAGTATCAAGAAAGAATAAACTAGTTTTAATCAAGAAATGACTTGTATCGCTGAAGTTTCTAGGAAAGAATTTCTACTGGAAATTAACAAACAAGCTGATATGTAACAGTAACTCTATCAAAACTATATACCCCCCCCCCAAAAAAAAGACATTTAAACATCTGATACTGTAATTGCACGTGGATGTGCACGACAATTATTATTTTCTGTATTTACATTGCCTAATCTTGCAAGAACATGAAATCACGCCAATCCATCATTCAAAGTTGTCGGAACAGGCGCTAGTTTTTGTCCAGATACAAGTTTCCACCCAGAATCAACTGTTCCAGGAAGTTCCATTTTACAAAGGTGGACATTTTCCCATATGGCAGCTTGGTAGTGTGAACACAATTTGTGCTGTCGCAGTACATCACTTGTTGACAGCAAAGATTCTGGATCTTTTTATATTGGTAAATAAAGTGTGACGGGCAGAGTCTATGGTTGTAACCTGTGATCCGACCTTGTAAAACTTCACGATAAACTCTTCAGTAGCAAGTATTGTATTTGCATTCAAAGGAACTTTCCAAAGTTCGGAAAGCAGCTTGTGAATATCTTCCACCCTGTTCACTTGCTGTTAATTGAAAGGAAAGATGTCACATTGAATTCTGCTAGGGCCTGAATTGCAATTAAATTGTACTTCAACACTGATGGCGACTAATCACATAATGTGTTAATTGGGACAAACTATCTGCTCTTTGATATTCCATCCGTCATCCATAGTTTCATACACTGCACTTTCTCAAAGTAGTGAAGCAGAAACAGGAATACATTAGTGTCCCCAACCGAAACCACTACTGTATTAAAGCTGCTGCTGACTGTGTGCAGTACCATTTCGTGTGGTGCTTGTATTGGCTTCATATTTGTTTATGGTTTGGTTGATATCATTTTTCTCTCGTTGCCAGTAGCAACAACATCAGGGTTGGGAGAAGCGTGTGAGATAAGCTATGTAAAGAGCAAATGAGAAGGATCTTCCTTATTTCCTGGCAACACCAAAAAGTTTCTCCAGTTTTTCGGCAATGGTGAATTTCTGTTCTCAATGACACACCTTATTTGCCGGTATGTCCTGAACCGTTTCTTACTAATTCTGTCCTTGGTTGATTTTTCCCAATAATGGTTGAACTCAACATAATCTCTATTGTGTGTTTAGACAACTTGTTTCACTTTTTCCATAAGTTGTCAGCGAGGTCGTCAAATGTAGTTACATTTTCATATTTGTCCAGAACCATTACTTTTGCATGGACATCGACAAATAGTTAATATGGCGTTTTTGGGTGTTTAGTCTGCTCAGAGCATTGAATATCTAACGTTAGCAGATTCACCAATGCTATCTTATTTCCTCATTTGGTTTCACCATTCATTTCAGCCAATGCAAAAGATGACCGTGAGAAGTTCATGCTTCAAGATGAACAGAAGATAAATTGGCCTCTCAACCTTATAAATTGTAATGAACCTCTGTAATATGCCTTTGTCAACCTTGATTACCTTCCCTGTTGACTTCTTCAATGTCTTCCTCCACAAAATTCATGGCATGTTCCTGTCCAAGTCTTTTAAAATTCAAAAGTGTTAACTGCATTTTCTCAGTAGCAAGGTCTTTGATGGTGAAATTCTGTATAGCATCAGAGCTGGCATCCCGTTAGAACACGTTGAATGTTATCAGTATTACCGACAATAGCATCATCTCATTCTCACTTGTGGCGACTGCAAACAATTGAATGTGAATCACAAAGAAAGGATGAAGACCAAACGTTTCGAGGGTTTTCTGCGAGATGTCAGTCTTCCAGTGGTAAGAAATGACTCATTGCTGCAAGACTGGTGTTTCGTTTGTGATACCAATAATTCCACTGTATTCTTTGTCTGTGCCAACAATCCACAAATTGCCCTCGTGAAAAGTGAATATGAGTGGTGCAGAAGCCATCCACCCGTGTCTTGATCAGAAAGCAAAATTCACATTCTCTTCAGACTTATTGCCCATAAACTGACGAATGTAGTGCTGGATATTGTGTGTAGCAAGTAAGGAAAGTAATGTTTCGATATTGTCAGAAATCATTGAAAGATGTTGCATGAGCTCCTGGTATTTCTGCCCAATGTAAGTGTAGAGACGTGGAAGGATGACATGCCACAGAATAATGAGAAATTCGAGCAGCAAATGTTTTGTAGAGTTAATAAGAATTCTCTGACTCTGACTAACTTGTGAAAAACAAAAACTGGATACAGTATAAAGTCAAGAGAAACAGTCTTTAAGTTATTTAATAAAACACAATAAAAGACGATGAGTTAAGTAGAGATTGAAGTGTCTTAAAATTATCTTTTTAGAAAATCTGTTTAAATCTATTCCAAACTGAGAAACCTGGCTTTATGTACATAGAAGAATACTCCTATTCTTTTGTGGGCGTGTGCACTGCCTATGTTACTGTTTATTGGTCATTCCCATCGACAAATAAGAAAGTCTATATCTTTGACTTGACTCGCCAGTATAAAGTACCACTGTTTATATTTACATAGTATATTCAACTTTACAGAAATATATTCTATGAGAAGTCATAAGTGATGCTAAAGGTGATTAATTCATAACAATAGGTAATTATGGTGATAGGAACTTAGCCACTTCCTTGACTAAAGTTCTATAGCCTTATTTGTGTCAAAGAGCTTATTTTGATATGCTTTATGAGTGGTTTTATTTTGTACACTTTTCAAGAAGGGCATCTTTAAATTTCCATTTCTTCCCTTTGTTAGTAAAATGGATTATTTGATGAGAATAAGTTACATTATTTTCTTTTCAAATGTAAAAGATTTTTACTTAGATTTCAAATCTCAAAACTAGGAATGGGCTAAAGGCAAAGAAGAGAAGAAAGAAAAAATATGGAGGTATATTAAACGTTTACCACACTATTTAACTTACCCTAAACTTCACGTAAAATGTTTCAAAATTTTTATGTACATAAGTATATCTAGTGTTGCCAAATCATATTAAAATCTCAAAATAAACTCTTCGTATTAGAGTAAAGAATACTAAGTAATTCATCTAAACATAATATCGTACAAAATATAGAAGAAAATCCAAGGAAAAAGGAACCATGTGCATGTATATACGAACAATGAAAGTAAGTACTCACGATATACATAA